CACCCTGTTCCTAAAATCCAGGCTTATCATGGACTCAAAAGGAAACATGCCCCTTAATCAGGGGAAAACAGCCTGTTTATAAGCCACAGGGCATGTATAACAAGTCTTTTAATGGAACAGGCCATTAGATTTTTACTTGGCAAAGAGAGAGAATGAGGTCAATAAATGAATAAATGGCTGTCATTCTTTGACATATTTTTATGTACCTTAAAGCCCCTTACACACATGACCTTTAATCTTTACTGCAGCCGTGCAAGACAGGTTCTGAGATGGGCTCAAAGTTAACTTGCCCAAGATCACCCTAGAAAATGGAGGGGCTGGGGTTTGAAATTAGGATTTTTGACTCAATATCCTGTATTCTTAATTCCTCCATTATGCTATAACTATAGAGCAGTTTTTCTTGCTCTGATGCCTCAGGTCTGAGTTTGTTGAATTTTTATTTTCCTTCAAAAAGAACTTCTCTGAACAGTGACATGACAGGGGTCCTCTCAGATTTATTAAACCTTATTGCTGTTTGTTTTTCATATGAATTAGGGGAAAAGACAGGGTTCTCCATTTATGTAGTGCTGATTTTAGAATCATATAACTAACTGTAGATCTCTTCCCTTTCTTTGAAGATTGTGATTTTCCAACGTGGAAACTGATACAAATCAAGTCCTGACCACAGTTAACGAGGATGAGCATCAGCTGGGCATCACGGTCACATCAAGATCAAGGGTGAGGATTGCACGTCACAGGATGAAGTTGCCAACTTGAGAAATGGCCCCAAATCAAAAGGCACCAGAAATTGATACAAAATGAGAGGAAAAGAAAAAACAGAGTCACAGTTCTGGGAGAGACCATGAACATGCTATGTTCAAAGATGTATCTAGCCCTTGCTCAGGTTGGTTTCTCTTTAGGGCATGGCCTCTTCCCACATCTTCACCTGTAATTATCACTTTTCACATCACCACTCAGGTGTTTCTTCCTCCACGAAGCCCTCATGACTGTCCCTGGCTTCCTTCATCCTCCACCCTTTGAAATCCGACAGCATTTACACCCGGCTCACACAGTCTTGTTCTTTATTATATACTCTTTAATATGCTTGTTGGATTCATTTCTCCAACAGGATTTCAAGCTAGTGAAGGGCAGAGACTTTGTAGAATGGTACACAGGAGACACAGTAGGAGTTCAAAAAATACCTGTTGAATGATTCCCAGATTTTTATACACTTTGGGTGGGAAATTACAGAATTTTAAAGTACTTATCTAAAAGAGGACCATCTTCATGAAAAGTTCCATGTGGTACTAAAATTCGCTTGCTTTGTTCTCAAAAGGACAAACTTCTATACTTCCCACCAGGTTAGTGATTCAACCTATGGCTACAGGTTTGGGGAGAAAAAGGAGGCCAGTCAGGACTGCAGAGATGGCTTGTATTCAGATGTGCTGGTGACAGAGGACTCTGGATGTTTGACCGTTTTCAACAGTCATGGAGCTGAACAAAATTTACCATTTATGTAGGAATCTTTTAGCTCTTGGATGGAAAAAATCTCTTTCCTGTAAAACTTCATGGAATTTCTGCTTCTGGAAGGGGCAACAGTTATTCATTGTGGATCTTGAAAATTTCTGACGTGGTTGTCCAAATGGGCACCAAATAAAGTGAGAAAATTCTCAACTACATATTTTAACATTATTTTTGGTTCCAGGTGATGGACCAGGCATGCTGCGACTGGCACTGACAAGACCAACCCTTTACTCAGACCCAGGGGATCATTTTTGATCTAAAAACCTTGTCCCTCAAACCAGCTGCCCGAGAAACAAAAGCAAGTCCAAGATTTTACTTTGTATTCTGGATGACCACACATTCTACCTCCATCTCTATTTTGCCCAGTGATAGTTTTAATCTTTAATGTGAGCTTGTGCATAGGACTCAGCTGGGGACTGGAGTTTTATGTTTGAATACAGATCCCTTTCCTTGGATGACTGTGGCCATCTTGTCTGTCCCCTTTCCATCACCTGGGCTTGGTTGGGTGAAAAACATGTTCTCTTAGGGATACATCCTATCTTAGAAGAACCGCTTTATTATAATGCAACTCTGAATCAAGGAGCCAACTCTCTAGGAAGAATCTCTAATTAGTTAAAAAATTTGGATTAAGCTTCCTTTATAAAAGAGCTCACATTTATTGAACACTTTCTACTGCTAGGCCTTCTGCCAAGCACTTTATATGCATCATTACATTTAATGTTCATAGTACTGCTAGTACGGTGACGATAATGTAAACTATCATTCTCCTAGTTTTTTTCAATTAGGAAACTGAAGCACAAAGGGGCTAAATAACTAGTTGAAGGTCACACAATTAGTAAACAGCAAAACTGCCCCCCTGGTTTCCCCCTCCTCCCCAAATCCTCTCCTCCTGAAGTCTTCCTCCTGTCTGTCAGCTGAAGGCAACTCTATATTTTCAGTTTCCCATAGTCTCATGGTTAAATTTCTCACTATCCAGGCCTCTACTCAAATGTCACCTTCTCAATGTATCTGTTATTCTATTTACAATTTGAACCCACTCACTCAGACCGTACTGAACCGTCTTACTCTGCTCTATTTTTCCTATACCTTTTAACATAGTGTGTAATTTATTTGTTACGCTGATTGTTCATTGTCTGCCCCTCCCCCCACCACACAGATATTTTTATCTGTTTTATTCTCTCGTGTATCCCAAGCACCCAGAACAGTGCCTAGCACACTGTGATCAATGAATGTTTGTTGAATAAATGAATAAATGGACTAGGATCTCAAATTTTAGGGTGGTTATAATTTTCGTGTAGACCAATACCACATTCTCAAGTGAAAAGGGAATAAAGAAGAACAGATTATGAGGTGGTCTTGATCAAGGGTCAGTTGAACAGGAAACTTAGGGACATGTGTTCAGATGAAGGAGATGGATGTAAGTGGAGGCTGGAGTGAGTCGGGAAGATGCAGTGGGACTTTTAATGGAATTCTTTCAATTTTGCAGAACATTGTTAAGGACACCCTTTCTTCTTTACTTAGAGGCCCAGGATTTAAATTTGTAACCCTGTATTTGCCACACCCCAGGTTTAGTCCTGTGCTGTTTCCCTTTCCCACTTCCCCTGCCCTTGTGGTCTCAGGAGCAGCAGCTGTTTCTCTTTGGTATGGTCAGACATAATGAGAAATACAGATCCAAACTGTTGGATCACTCAAAAGCTGGGAGGAATCTGGAATGGAGTTATTAGATTTGGGGTATTTTAATCATTTCCTGCAGGTTGGCAGGTTCCAAAAAGGTCAATATACAAAAGAATCGGGCAAGATATACTAGAAGAAATTTCACTGCTTCTGCTTGCAGTTTTCTTTTTTTTTTTTTTTTCCTTTTTGTTTTTTTTACTGACCGGTAACGGGATCGCAACCCTTGGTGTTGTGCCTGCACCGCGCTCAGCCAGTGAGCGGGAACCGGTCTCCACATGGGATCTGAACCCTCGGCGGGAGCGCTGCCACGCTCCCAAGTAGCACACTCTCCAGTGCGCCTCTGGGCCGGCCCTGCTTGCAGTTTTCAAATTTGGTAGTGTTCTACTCAGGCCTGCAAAGTTGAGGGTTGACCAGATGCTTTAAACATGGACTCTTCTCAGTGGTGACACTTCTCTGGGACAAACCTAGTCTCTTGCTTTGCTCAAATAAAAGTTTTCTATCATCTGTAACCATTACATTGGCTTATCCTACTTTTAAGAAAATTGGTTTGCTCCTAACACAGGGGGAAAATTGGTGGTGAAGAAAGTTAGGAGGAACAGTGTCGTCTATCATGAGGCCTGGATTCCTGTCCTTCTATGAAAAAACTCATTTTTTTTCTTACCTGCCTTCAGTGCATGCCTACTATCTCTTGTCCTCCTGTGATGGTGTTAAGGACACAATCCCAATTACTGAGGGGTTCTATCAACATGTCTTCCAAAGGCCAACCAGGAAGTGCCCATAGTAACTACCTACGCTGATCATGAGGCCAAACACATTAGTTTCTAGAATGATCTAACAGAGAAAGTGCATTCGGTTAAGGAAACTGAATATTCAGACAAAGGTTATTTTGGAAACGCTCATGTTAGGGGCTGAGTTCTTTACAGGAGCTAACTCAGCCCGGACTGCCCCGCCAATGGGCTGAGCTCTGAGATGCTGACAGTGGGCAGAGCAACTCCAGAGGCTGAAGGGGTCCCAGCCACAGCTGCACATAACGACTTCCCAAGGAGGCCCTGAAACCACCAAAGCCGATGCCAGAGATTTTGGTTCAGTCAGTCTGGCAATGAGGTCAGGGCATCAATCAATCTTTTTTAAAAGCTCTCCAGGTGATTTTATGTGTAGCCAGAAATTAAAACTACCTGACATGAAGGACACAGAGAAGAAATATCTGAGAAGCTGGTAGAGAGAATGCAGTTCCTAATCCTGCTTCACAATCCCTATTGCAAGGGCTCCTCTGCCCCTCCTGATTCATCGGTTTTCCATTTTCTCCTGGATTATTTCCGTAATCATATAAACAAGTTGCAATTTCTCCCATCCTAAATAAAAGGTCCTCTATAAACTCCACATCTTCCTCCAGCCAATGCCCATTTTCCCACTTCCATTTAGAGAAAAACTCCCCAGAATGTACTTTCTGCATATGCTGTCCAAGTCCTTTCAGTCTATTCTCTCTTAATCTCACTCTGTCCAGGCACCCACCCTCACTACAGCACAGACACAGCCCATCTTACCATCCGGTCAGGCCAGTGAGTTTGGGTCTCCCTCACAATGACAGAAAAGGGGAGCCTGGAGAGCCCAACACAGATGCTCCTGATACACTCCAGGGTACTGCACACCCCTGATCCAGCACACGGCTGCTAGCAGTGCAGGGATCAAAGCTCAGTGACTAGAATGAAGAACTGGGAAACTTTCCAGGGACACCTTTGGAGAAGATTGGTGCTTAAGAAATGCTGTTGTTGAAGATGATAATGATAATAAGATCTTTAGAAAAGGGAAAGGTTATGACTTACACAGTGTGTGGTGGTGATGATGACAGAACTGGAGATGAAGGAGAGGCCATCGTTCATGCTGACCTGGAGTGCGGCTTTCCTGCAATGACAACAAGGCGATCAGAGACATTGAACATGGTGTGGCTGAGCAGCTGGTGGAGGGCCAGACACACAGGGCCCCTCTGGTCTCTGCTCTTAACTATCCTGGGAATACAGCTGAGTTTCCTTCTTTGTAAAATGTGGAAGATGGTCTCCATGGTCCATCGCCCTCTAACATTCTGGAGAGATGTCGACATGCTCGGCTGGTGTGTCAAAGCAGTGCATTCAGACCTTGCATTACAGCGAACTGCATTGAATGGGCAAGGTCTGCTTCCATTTAATTTACTTGTCACATTGTAGTAAGACAAAATATTGTTAAAAAATGGCCCATGACAATGGGGATAAAACAAGCAAACTATAAATGTGATGTTCCACTGTCATTATCGGGACTCCTAGCCATTTGGTGGGGGTGGCTTCATTACTATCCAGCTCACTCAAAGAGGTAAAGCAGGAGACAAACTAATCTGCCTTCTACGTCCTTCCATCTATAAGAGACTCACTGAAACATGAGCTCACATTTTGTTGCATTTTGCAGCATGGACGGACACTGGGCTAATTTGTGGTATCACAGGCTGATGTTGGGCAACCAGAATTGGAGGTCTTACGGTATGAACAAAGGATTAAAAACAATATTCAGACGAACAACTTAACATTTTTTCCTTACAGCCACCATTCGATCTCCAGCCTGTTAGAGACGTGATTTTTGGAGAGGTTGTTTTTTATTCTCCGCATCATCATAGCCTCTCTGTTTTCCCACATTTTTATTTTCTTGCTCAGGATGCTAATTCTCTTTCTTCTGTTGAATATTTTGATCATATCTCAGTAACTCTTTATTATAATTGCATCACTGTGAAATTTTCTTCCATTAATTAGTTCAGGGGACTTTGGTCTGGGTGGACACCCAGTGCTCTGTGGAGGGGGAGGAAGGAACACGAAGAGGGACGTGCAAAGGTCTGAGTCTGGGGTCTCTGCGATGAGCCAGCTGTGGCCTCAGACTTTCTGAGCCTCCTTTCTGTTTTTCCTTATCTCTGAGTAGGAGATAACAATCATCCAGCAAAGCAATTATGATGCCAGGGTGGGGTAATGTGTGTGCAAGCTTTCTAGAAATGTAGTTGTGATGAAGGCAGAATTGTGATGAAGACTGGGTTGAGCCCAGACTCTTCCACTTATTGCTGCGTGACCACGGGTAAGCTACTCAAAATCTCTCAGCCTTAGTCTCTATGTCTGCAAAATGGAGATCATATCTGGTTTATGGGGAACTTGGGGGGATGAGATGAGAGCCTCTGTAAAACACTCACCCTTGTGCCTGGCTCACAGGGAGCCTCGACAGTCACTACCCGGAGGAATCTAGACAATTCTCCATTATGACAGTGGAGAAAGACGCTTTCTTTTCCCTTTGTCCCCATCCACCTCCTCTCTCCTCCCTGGCTGTGAAGGATCAGGTGCTGATGAAGACTTACATGCCAACTTCTTTTAAGATAGGCGCTGGGCACAGCAAATAAGTATCTTCCACGGCGAAGGGCTTCTCATCTGTAAAAAGGAAGGAGTGAGGAAAGTTTATCATTTCAAATTCAGTGACTTCTAGAGACCATCAACCAAGTCCAGGGAGATGCCAGAAAAACAAAGAACTTTTTGAAATAAGGACTATATTGAGCTATAAAATCTATTAGTAGTAACTCAAGGGCTTCTGCCTGAACACTAGTCTCCTGACCCCATACGTCCAGTTGAATCAACCAGTGAGCAAAGAGAGACTGAATTCCTATGATAGAGCAGGAATAACTGAGGGGAAATAAGAAATACTAGCCTGTTCCCAAGGTGCTTCATGTCTAAGTCTAGTTAGACAGAGTCTAGTTTTTCCATATACATGGAAAAAGTTCACTGACAAAAACAAGTGGCTAAAGCAAAATATCACTGGGCTTCAGAAGACAGGGCACTTCCTTGACATGCGTGATGTGGTCAGGTCACAGGAAAACACAGAACACGAGTTGTGCTTTAGTGGAGAGCTGGGGAGGAGGCATTCCTGTTAAGAGGAATGGTGTGAGGAAAGACACGGTAAAAAAAGTTTGTTCCAGGGTAGGATATAATAGGATTTGAAAAGATCAGTATAGAGAGAAGTTTTGTGCTTTAGTGGAGAGCTGGGGAGGAGGCATTCCTGGTAAGAGGAATGGTGTGAGGAAAGACACGGCAAAAAAGTTTGTTCCAGGGTAGGATATAATAGGATTTGAAAAGATCAGTATAGAGAGAAGTTTGGTCCAAGTTGTTTGAGTTAGACTGTGGGATTTGGACATAGTTCTATATGCTATGAAAAGAACTGCGGAGGGTTTTTGCATAAAACAGAAGTGATGATTTTGGTTTTTTTAGCAGATGCAGCTGTGAAAGATGGATTAGAATAGGGTGACTCCTGGGGTGGGGAAGTTCTTGCTCTGATTCTAATAGATGGCCAGGAAAAAGCTTAAGCAGTTTTATCTCAAGCTGAGAAGTTTATTATACTCAGTATATAACAGTCATTCCTTCATGACTCTACGTTTTTTGGGTATGCATTCTGTACAAGACTGTGGTAGGACCTGTAGATGAAACATAGATGAAGAAGATTTGTCCCTTTAATCAAGATGTGACCACGGGCCGGCCTGGTGGCGCACTGATACAGTGCGCTGCTTGGGAGCACGGTGGTGCTCCCGCCGAGGGTTCGGATCCCACATACAGACCGGTTCCCGCTCACTGGCTGAGCGAGGTGCGGGAGTGGCACCGAG